CATGATTACTGTGGTCAGCACACACAGGAACAGACAGGAACAACCAGCTATTTTAGACCATAGAATAGGACAAATGACACTGCAGAAGCACTATGCGATTTCTCATGCTTTAAAGGAACAGGAGCATTTTTTTTTAGGGTTACAGTCGCTTTAAAAAAAATTTAGGAAAGGAAACTTTTAAACTACGAATGATAAATCTAGTTCACAAAGGAAGTAGATAAATCTACTTCACAAAAGATAGATTTAAAGTGGAGCTCTGATTTCTAAATTACTATCAGTTTTAGTTTTTTGTTTTTTTTTTATCATTCTCATTTCTGTGAATCTTCTTTCCCCCTCCCATTCCATCACCTATTTCTCCCTATCTGATTTACTTTCTTAGATCCATTTCACACAGCCATTCCATGTTCAGTGTCAGCACAGGATCTGTAAACAAATCCTCTAGCCAAGTTGGATCAGAACGGGATGTTTTGTGACATGTGTCCCTTGCCGATTTTTTCGGGGCAGGCAGCCATGGGCCGCTGTGCATCAGTTCACCTCAGTGTTAATCTTATTCGTCCCATTCAGGTCCACAAGTTTTATCATGCACATTCAACATACCCTCCCCTTACCCCATGGCAAAATTAAAGTTAGGGACACACCTATTATTTGTGATTAAAACTAGCCTGCTTCTGGCCAATTTTATACTTCTAAATCCTCTGCAGTATCCTAAAAATAGGGACTGCAATTAAGTTTTATCTTTGTTACCCATTAGTCTTTGCCTATTACTTGCATTAGCCAAATAAGCCCATTTTTGCACTCATGTAAAAAGTTAACCTTTCCCTCATTTAGATTAATGAGAGTGATCTCATGGGACAGGTACATAATGTGCATGTGTAGAGCTTGGCCTTGAAATCAGGGAAACTGAACATTTAGTAACAAAATGAAACTAGCTTTAGAAGAGTGCTCTGTGTGGCACTTGCACATAAAGCGGAACTATCCTTTGCAGCCAATGAAGCGGTCATCTTTAGCTTCTGTTTCAACTGCAGTTGCTATGGTGCTGCACATGTTTTTGGCACATGATCAGCTACGACACTAGTCATTTGATGGCTTAACAGTTCAGTTTAGAGCACAAGCAACTGTGACAGTTATTATTGATTGCATGCCTTGCATGTAACCAGTTCGGGAAACGGCTACATTGATGGGTTTGGTTATGCTTTAAAAAGAACTTTCTAGCAGTCTCAAACAATGTGTCCCCAGTCTATGATGGTCTTCTGAAGCATGTCTCCAGTCTAAAACAACTCCTATAGCATGCTCAAAGTCACTTACAATCTCTTGCAAAATATTCATAGTCTCTGACCATTTCTTGTATCATGTCCACAGTCTCCGACAACTCTTGTATCATGTACAGACTTTGGACGTCTTTTGTATCATGCCTGCAGTCTCTGACCATCTCTTGTGTCATTCCCATAGTCTCTGACATCCTTCATGCCTGCAATCTCAGACAATCACTTGTATCATTCCCATAGTCTCTGACATCCTTCATGTCATGTCTGCAATCTCTGACCATTTCTTGTATCATTCCCATAGTCTCTTGATATCTCATGTACCATGCCTGCAGTTTCTAACTATTTCTTGTATGATACAAGATGTCCATAGTCTCCGACATCACTCGTATCATATCTGTAGTCTCTGGCTATCTCTTGTACCATGCCTATAGTCTTTGACAATACCCTGTTTGGTGTCTGTTGTCTCCGATACAGAAAATGCACTGAATTTTATATGCAGCACTTTAGTGATGTCAGGGACTGCATTTTCGGTCCCCCCAATACCAAGAAAGCTGACCATGACGAGTTTGGATGTCCTTGCTTTAAAGCAGGTTTAGCCACATTTAGATATGTTTAGAGTGACTAATCGGATCCTGGAAGCACAGAATTCCATAATCTCTAAACACAGGTAAACGGTGTGAATAGCACCATTGAAAAATCCTTGAATGCATTTAAGTGTGTTTTAGAAATGTCCTATAAATGCAAGTTTAAAATGTTTGAGCAAGCAGTGGAGTAGATCAAGTCCTTACACTAGGAGATTGCCTTTCTGAAGGAGACAGCCCTACAGCTCAGGAGATGAGGAAAAGTCGTTTTAGGAGGATTCTGGACACTGGGATTGTTCTACAAAAATCAATAATTAATATGTACTAGACTCCAATAACTGGCTCCAGAATTTTAGCCCAATTGGTTCAAAGTTTGTGTAAACCAGATTTGACAACACTGAATAAATTGCTAAACAAGTAAATAAAAAACAAAAGGTCTTGGACCAAACTTTATTACATTACAGGCCACATATGTTAAGAAGTCAGTTTTGTTTTACCATGTACATGGTAATTCATTACCATTTGGGTGCCCAGAGATAGGTAGATATCCTACATTGAGTCAAGCACCACCAAGAAAAGTTGCAGAATTCTTCTCGATTCAATCCACAGATGCATGCAACCCAAGCTTTGTGAAAGTTTAATTCCCTTTTATCCATAGAAGACAAAAACAATATGCTGCAGGCCCTCAAAAAAGTTTTTTCAACACAAAAAAAAAAAAAAAAAATCACTTTGTACAATACCAAATACTTTCAGTGATCTAAATCACTCTGCAGGGCTAAAGTGTCACAAGTGATGGCTGCATGATGATCAGACTGTGCTTGGCCAGCTCTACAATAATTTTGAGAAATCCCTTTAACTGGTCATTTTTGATGGGGCATTGCACATCCTCTACCAAATTCTGCTCCAACTGACAGTACCAGGAAAATAAATATTTTGTCATTAAAGAAATATGGAGGCTGCCATTGATGACTATTTGTCTGCTTGTAGGTGGCATCATTACTTCTGAGTCACATACCCACACCAAACAAAAATGGTTGTCAGAGGGAAGTCAGAAATCCATACGTTGGTCTCTGCTTGTACTGCGTCAATGACCAAATATTGCAGCAAAACATCAACATGATGGTCAGGCAATTAACATTTTCAGAAGGAGAGGTGAACAATGACAGCCTACACATTGCTTTTATGACAAGTTCACTACAAGCTGTTGTGGAAGCTGCTTTTTCTACTAAGTTTCCACCACATGAAATGTAGCAAAAAGTAGAAATACAAAATCTTCATATATTCAATATTACAGTATGCTTAAAGCAGAGCCACCCCATTTTTTTCTTCGCTGTTATTAAACTGCCATTCATATACAAATGAAGACTCTGTTCATCATATTTGTGTGGGAATGTTCCCTCTCAGTGAATATCAATATATTATCTTGTTTTATACATCCCTTCATATACTTTAAACCAGTGTATAACCCTAAATATTTTTAAACACCTATCAAGTGCAATAGAACATTTCTTTTAAAGGCAGCTAGCCAAATACAGCTTACCGTTTTTGGCTGAAAAAGGATTTGCAATGGTGTACCACTGATCTTCTGTTTTACCCTCCCAGGCAGTTGACACACTGATCTACTGGTTTGACAACATATCAGCATTACCTCCCTTGCCCTATTAGCAAGGAAGTGATCCAAAAAAAATAGCAAAGAGATCTTCCTGGCTGTGCAGGGCGGTAGAGTTATATAAATGACAAAATCAGCTGAACACAGTGACAAATCCTTTGGCAGGTAAAATAGTAAGCAACCAATATTTCATATTACATATTTTATATTCAGTTGTGTATCTAGCTGGATGCCTGAAATTTCACTTTATTCAGGATTGTGTACCCCTATAAAAGTTGATGAAGAATATGAACTTCATTTCTGATATGGACAAAGTATACAGTATGGCTTAAGTTACACAGGTGGTTTTTACAACTTCTAAAGCACACCTTTCTTATTAAACACAGAAAGGTGATAATTACAATTTGAATGCCTGAAGGCAGCACTGCTTATAAAAAGGATATTTTGGATATGCTCCACAATAATAAAAACAGAACAACCACTATCTGTTTATGGTTTTTGTTTTTAACATCTTTTAAAGACAGTGGCGTGCCAGTGTCATTCATTCATCTGAAACGTGCTGTAGAACTGTTTTTTTCTTGCACATGTGATGTGCCCTAAAATCTGCTTGTGTGATCCTAGCCTTTGACACTGAACTCCCAAGTATGATCTGAATTGCCTACACACACACACACATTATAGTATATTTCATACCTGATGGACCACCTTGGAAGCTGGAAATCACTGTGGTAGTCAGTGCTACTAGAGTGATCCCTGTGATCTTCTGGATACTGTGCCAAGCAACTGCCCCACTGTACACTTACTACAGGACGTGGCTTGTTGGAACCGCCACCATTCACAGAACACCTTGTATTCATGAAAAAAAAAAAAAAAAAAAAAAAATACAAGGTGTTCTGTGAATGGTGGTAGTGGTGAGTGAGCGACCCAGTGGTCAGTGTCCAGTGGGGCAGTAGTTTGGCCGAGGACCTGGTAGATCACAGTGATGAACCTAGTAGTGACAACTATTACTGTGATTTCCAGCTTCCAAGGCAGTCCCTCTGATATGGGAAATGCACACTTACTTGGTTCAAGCAAGACCAATGTAATTATCAAACCTGGAGTTCAGCTTTAAAGGAAACCTGTGCTGAGACAAATATAAAGGCTGCCATTGGTGACCTTTAAAAATTATATAGTTACCTGGCTGTCTCTTCAATACTTAGTCAATGACTATAAACAAGTTTGCAACAAGTTTTCTATCCCTGTTATGGCCAGAGATGCAAAACGTAAGCAGATAATGCCAAATAGAAGCCAGGAAGCTAGTATTTTTTTTTTTAAATGAGCAGCATTCATGTTACCATAGGTTTCCTAATAAAGATGTTTTTTTCTACATACATACTGTAGAACACAATATTACTTGGTGTGCACATGGTTTGCATGTACAGTGCTCCAATTATTGGAAAATGTAACAAAATAGTCCAGCCCCACTTGTCTGCAATAAGACAACCAGTGGAGGATAAAACCTTCAAGTCAGCATTTATCAATATGGTCTTCAACCAGAGCTCCAATTTATAGTTCATCGTGCCTGGCTGTACCTGGAGGGAGGCTTGGTTTTATGAATACGCCTTCCATCACTTTCCAGTAGTTGTGAGCATTGGCACTTGTCATGCCATGCACTTCTCTCTGTCCTTTGATTGGATGACTGTACTGTTCACCTGTAATGGTCAGGTACACGCTGGTTCCAACATGCTTGAAACGCACTGTGTCCTCACGTTCCCAAGCGCTGTCACTGCACTGCACTGTCCAAGTGTCTAAGTCATCTCCTTCCCCATTCTCTCCAAAGGCACTTACTTCCTGTAATTAAAAGAAATAAAGTACAACAGACCATAAAGCAATTCTAATATTACAAAACACAAAAAAAATATTTTCACAGCTAGAAACTATTAAAACATCCGATTAGCTAATACATAAAGTGTAAAGAAAACCCTAAAAATTAACTTCTCTTATTAGCTCCCTAATGTTCTGTTAAATATACTATTGGAAGCATTTTGTTACATCTGCTTGAGAAGCACAAAAAAATTCCTGCTGATCTTATCAAAAATACAGAGCTGTCCTGGGCCCTCCGTACATTGCCTTCATTTAGGAGCTATTCAGTGGTTTTTTTTCAGCAGCCCCTGAACTCACCCTAATGTTTTCCTATGTGTCCATGTACACATCTTCATTTACAGGCAGTTGAGTTTACAGTAGTTTTTTTGAATGCAGAAAACTTGCGTTCAGCAGTAGATTTTATCAGCGTTTCAAACGCCAAACGCTTATAAACGCAGCTAGCCTCGTTAATAAGAGTTTGCAAATTTTCTTTAGCGCTTCCATTTCCAGATGCTGTCCAGAGCCTTTTTTCATCATGAAAAATACATGCAAAGCCTTTTCCAGGTGGACCTGGTACACCATACTTTGAGGTTGTGCATGAAAGAAAATATGTTAGACACTGCTGCAATAATTTCTGCACAGAAATGAGCTGGAACACATCCAAACACCACAAAAAAACTAACAAACAAAAACACAGCTAATCTCAACAAATACTGCTCTCTCTGCTTCTGCTATATTTCTCTCAAAATGTTTGAAATCAGGGTGGATAAAAATAAATGATTATTACAAAAAAAAAAAAAAAAAAAAAAAAAAACAGATTTTTATTTAAATCAGATTTTTTTTTTAAATAAAATGCTTTTTGAGGAAAAAATATTACCATCCAAAGGTTATTCCATCATGAAATAAAGATTAGTTTTTTAATTATGTAGAATAAGGCTATATATATATGTTTATTTTTTTGGTAAATAAATTCCATTAATCCATTCACAATGTCATGCTCTTCCAGAGGTTTTTGTAAGATTATTGGGCAGTTTCTCTGCCTACAAGATATTATCACAGATGCTTGGTTTACTTTTGCAGTTCTCAAAACTGAATTTGACTCAGCGGAGATCACATGCCTCTTCTTCACAGCAAAAATGTTATAACATGAACAGAGTTAAGAAAAAGACCTTAATCCTAACTTCTACAAACCTATGAATACAGAATCAACCCCTTCAGTGCTAAGTTTTCAAGAAGTTCAGTGAATAGAAACGAAACAATATTTTTCTGATTGTTTGGAGTGGAATAGATCTGCACAAGAAAAAAGTGAAACTAAGTCTGAGGAGGAAGGGGCTGACAGTCTAAGTTTCTTAAAATATATATATTTTGTTTAGCCAAATTAGGTAACAAACATGGATGTTTGTTTAAGCAAATCACATATGCTGGAATGTTATTGTTTCAGTTGAATAAATCTATTTAAATTATTATTAAAAGGTAATGATTATTTTTCTCCTTCCTAAGTACAACAGAAAAGTTGTCCAAATACGAATGATTAACCTATTAAACTGGGGATAAAAAAAAACTAATATGAAAAGTTGTTATTCTAAAAATCTTCATCTACTTGCATATTAAAGTTATACCAGCAAGAATTAATCTATGTAGAAAACTATGATTTAAATCAAGCCTTACTGACTAGTGATTTAAATCATGATTTAAATCAAAACCCACCCTGTTTGAAATAGTTAATTTTTACTGTTTTTTCAGTGCATTCTGGGCATTTTGGAAGATCTCCTGAGGTTATCTTTAAAAAACACTTCTAAAAACGCAAAACACTCATAAAACGTGGTATGCAAACGCGGCTAAATAGACGTTTTTTGACCTACGTTTTCCAGCAGTCAGTTTCCATCGTTCAGAAGTGTCCCGTGTACATGGGGCCTTAGCCTTTATGTTGTTAAGATCTGAGAGTGGGAGTGGTTAAGTGCTTTTGCAAAATAAACAAAAAGGCTGACACCCCTGAGTCTGCAAAAATTCTGTGTGTTGTCAGCCAACAACAGGAGCTGAGTGCATTTCTGAAAGATCAACAGGTATTTCTGTACTTGCAGGGTCTTCAAAAGGGATAAAAAAACACAAGAAACATGCATGCATAGCAGAGATGTACTGCATTTTTAGTTTTGCTTTGACTTAAGCTTTATGGCAGTGCAAACTGATGTAACCCAGACTATCTAATCAGATTTCAGATCACTGTCAACTAAATCAGTAGGATAAAAATTATTACCATTGCGATGAGTTACAGCATTTTGCTGCCTTATCATTAAAGCCAGTTAATATAAAATCTTTACCCTGTTCAGATCAAACTGCTCTTATACAGTTGGGAAAATAATTATTTGATCCCGTGGACATTTTGTAAGTTTGCCCACTTACAAAGAAATTAAGGATCTATAATTTTTATCATAGGTGTATTTTAACCACTTCAATACCGGGCACTTTTACCCCCTTCCTGCCCAGGCCATTTTTCAGGTTTCAGCGCTGTCACACTTTGAATGACAATTGCGCAGTCATACAACATTGTACCAAAACTAAAATTTTTATCATTTTCTTCACACAACTAGAGCTTTCTTTGGTGGTATTTAATCACCGCTGGGGTTTTTATTTTTTTGCTAAATTAACAAAAAAAAAAAAAAAAAAAAAAAAGACTGAAAAGTTTGAAAATTGTTTCTGTTATAAAAGTTTGCAAATAAATAATTGTTCTTCAGAAATTTAGGCCAAGATGTATTCTGCTACATTTCTTTGGTGAAAATAACCCAAATTAGTATTTATTTTTTTAGTCTGTAGGAAAATTATAGCGTTCACAAACTATGGTATAGATCTGAAAATTGATCAATCCTGAAGTACTGACAGCCAATCTAATTTCTTGAGGTCCAAGAATATCAGAACAGTACAGATATCCCCCATATGACCCCTTTTTGCAAAGTAGACAGTCCAACATATTTCATAACAGGCATGGCAAGTTTTTTGAAGTTGTAATTGTTTTGTCATAATTTTTCGGAAAATGAAGAAATTCAAAAAATTATTTTCACTATTTTGTTTTTTTTTTTTTTTTTTTTTTTTTACGTACTGTCACCAGTGCAGTACAGTGTCATCATATAACTGGCATGGCGGTGATCAGGGACACTGACTGGTGACAGTGCAAAATAAAAAATGATAATTTTTTTTATTACAATTTTTTCTCTTTTTTTTTAAGATTTTTTTTCATATTTCACTATGACCAAAGTAGTATAATGTTACCATAGTAACACTGCACTACTTTGGGAAAGTGATCAGTATTTTTTTTTTTTTTTTTTTTTACACGAATTTGCTTATAGCAAAGAATTACTTTGCTATAAGCAAGCATTTACCTGAATGAAATATTCATTCAGGTTTTTTTTTTTTTGTGATTAGCTGTGATTTGGCCATGGCTAATCAAATGACACAGCTGGGCTGTGATTGGCCCAGCTTGTGCATGTGATCGCTGTGACCATTCACAGCTAGACACACTTGTATACAATGGATGGCATGAAAGGAAGCCATCCACTGTATACAACTGTCATGTGACCTGTTGCGATTGGTCACAGCAGGTCACATGGTACTGGCAACGGGGCCAGTACACAGATGTCATCGGCCGTGTCCGAGGTACGCGGCCAGTGACAGATCGCGCTGCAGCGCGGCCCTGAGCAATGCACGCTCCAGAAAGGACGCCATATGGTGTCAACCCGGGGGGATGAGCTGTTCGCCCATTGCCGCCCGGCCTATAGCCAGATGGTGGCCGGGCGGCAACGGGTTAAATGATATTCTGTCTATCAACCAAAAATCCTGAAAAAAAAAAAAATCTGTGGTACAATGCTCCACAGTGTCGTGGTAGATCATTGACAACTATGACAACTACAAGCAGAGAGCTGCTAAGGCTGCAGGGACTTGTAATGCATTCATTCACGGAACTCTAAATGAATGATGTGGCCATGTAGGCGGAGCCCTGCACAGCTGCATGGTTTTTAAATCTGACAGATAGTACGGGGAAACTTCTCTCCATACTTTTGTCAGAGGGAGAGGAAAGCAGCCGGTGGGGGCTGCAGAATTGGGAACAGGTTACATTTTCCACCCTATAAATCACCCATCTTCAGTGTTCTGGCTGAGGGAAGAAGGTTCTCATCCAAGATTTTACAATTGTGGCCCCATCCATTGGCCCCTCAATGTGGCAAAGTCAGAGAAACAGCCCCAAAGCGTATTGTTTCAACCTCCATGCTTGACTGTAGGGATGGTGTTCTTAGGGCGCTCTCCGCATAAAAAAGCCGCTTCCCCAAAAATGTATTAAAGACCACCAGCCTAGTGGTCACATGTATGAGCAGAGCCTGCAAGAACAGGTTCCAGGTGTAACAGTTCACATACAGTATTTCTCCTGATTTAATCATACCTGGTTGTTTGAGAGCGGGGATGAGAAATGGTGTGAGTGCAGGTTCTTCCCAGTATTCACATGGGTAAGGCGAATGGTTTGGCCACACTTTATTGGCTCTCCACGGCGGCAATCATCATTTACCTTTCCCCTTATCCTCCAGTAACTGTTAGCGTCATCTGATGCCTCCACACCGGTGACAGACTGTTGGCCACTTCCTACAAGAGAGAAACATTGTCAGTGGCATTCTGCTTCAGTTAAACATTTTGATTTGAAAGCGGAACTCAGCCCATCAAGTTAACAGTTTCAAAAGACAGTTACATTCCCATCATGGGATGGGAATGGAACTGTCACACTTGCTTGTGCTCTCAAACCAAACTGTAAAACCATTAAATGCCTGATGTCATGAATGATCACATGTGCAGCACCATGGAAGTTGCAGATCAAACAGAGGCTAAGATGGCAGCTTCCTTGGTTGAAAACAATTGGAGGGTTTAGTTCCACTTTTACCCCCTGCATGATCAAGCCATTTTTTTGCTATTCGGCACTGCGTTACTTTAAATGACAATTGCGCGGCCATTCAACACTGTACTCAAATTAAATTTCTATCTTTTTTTCCCCACATAAATAGAGCCTTCTTTTGGTGGTATTTGATAACCACTGGGTTTATTTTTTTTATTATATAAACAAAAAAAAATAAATATTTGGAAAAAAAAAAATTTTTTATATTCGGTTATAAAAATTATCCAATAAAAAAAAAATTTTAAAATTAAATTTCTTCATAAATTTTGGCCAAAATGTATCCTGCTACAGGTCTTTTGGTAAAAATCAAAATCCCAATAAGTGTATATTCATTGATTTGCGTGACAGTTATAGAGTCTACAAACTATTGTATATACAGTATAATGGTTTTTTTTTTTTTTTTTTTTTTAACTAGTAATGGTGGCGATCAGCAACGTATAGTGGGACTGTTATAATGTGGTGGCCAATCTGACACTAACTGAGGCTGGGTGAGAACTGACTAAATGACGCTGACATCACCAGTGACACAGAAACATTTTTTTACTTTAAATGCAGGTAATGCAGTAAGATAAAAAAAAAAAAAAAAAAAAAAAAAGTTTTAAATTTAAAACCACTTTAAACTGTATGTAAACCTTACAATGAACTTTTCATATTTCCTACCCCTTGGCCTGTTAAGTACTATTGAAAGTGAATCTGTTCAAAAGGTGCAATAAAAAAAAAAAAATAAAAAAAACTTTGCTGCATCTGCCAGAAATCTGGTCAGCAGAAAAACTATGAACGCCAATCCCACATCTAAGTGTTGATATGCTGCAGTCATTTACATTTGGGTCTTAGGTTTAGATATGCGTCAAGTAAGCTTTTTATTACGGACATTGTTTAAAATTGCAAGTTGCTTCCTACGTAGAACCTGCAGAAAGTCAGTGAGCTGTTTATAATACACAACAAAATTGTCATGGTGTTAAAGCAGAAGAAAACCCTCCTATCCTTTACAACCAAGAAAGCCACCACCATTAGCCTCTGTTTAAATTTGCAGTTGCCATGAGCTGCACATGTGATTAACACGCTAGCTATTTGATGGCTTGACAGTTCAATTGAGAGCACAAGTAACTGTGACAGTTATAATAAGCGCCATATTTTGAATGTAACCGTTCTGAAAAAAAAGTTTAGTTCCACTTTAAAAAAAAAAAAAAAAAAACAAACAAAAAAAAACAGGATACTATCCATTACCATTTAGCACCCACAAGGTATATATATATATATATATATATATATATATAAATAAAAACACGGTATAATCCACCTGGATGCACTAAGTAGTTGTGATGATACATACAGTTTTACTGACACCTCAATGTTGTTAAATTGTGCTTAGGCTCTACCATTTGTTTTACCCTCAGGGCCGGTTCACATTATAGAAAAGCAGTCCAGAGGCGTTCCGGATACGTTTCTGCATGCATGTTTTTGGTGTGTTCCAGTGTGTTTTTGATGCTTTCCCGTTCATTTTTCCCCTCTCCATCTTCAATTTAAATAGAGACATGCGCGTTCCGGTACATTTTTTATGCGTTTTACCGCGTCCCAGTACAGTTCCATGCAGGAAAAATGCGGCCTGTTCTTTTTTTTCTGCACTGGAACTGATGTAAACTATGACATTGATAACCATGTAACCTACTTTCTGGGCGTTTTGGATGCAGAAAAAAAAAGTGCATGTAGTGTGAACTGGCCCTCAGACATGAAGGGGTTAAAACAGGATGTTTGCGCCATTTCACCAATTTTATAGGATTTCCCATGGTCCCTTGCTCAGTCTTCTACTCATTTATAATCTATTATTTACAATGCTACAGGCAGCACATTGGCTTAGTGGTTAGCACTGATAACTTGCAACACAGATTAGAATCTCACACAGGACTGCAATTGCAATTGCAGATTCAGTCTTCCCAGCCTGGTGCAGGTCTGCAATTTTGTTTCTGGTGTCCTTCGACAGCTCTTTGGTCTTCACCATAGTGGAGTTTGGAGTGTGACTGTTTGAGGTTGTGGACAGGTGTCTTTTATACTGATAACAAGTTCAAACAGGTGCCATTGATACAGGTAATGAGTGCAGGACAGAGGAGCCTCTTAAAGAAGAAGGTACAGGTCTGTGAGAGTCAGAAATCTTGCTTGTTTGTAGGTGACCAAATACTTATTTTCCACCATAATTTGCAAATAAATTCTTTCCAAATCAGCCAATGTGATTGTCTGGATTTTTTTTCTCATTTTGTCTCTCATAGTTGAGGTCTACCTATGATGCCAATTACAGGCCTCTCTCATCTTTTTAAGTGGCAGAACTTGCACAATTGGTGGCTGACTAAATACTTTTTTGCCCCACTGTAGCTGATCACAGATCAGATACTCCCAAAACGTTCTGATTGTGCAATCTACCAGCAAGTAAAGACCTGCATGATTGGATTCATCTAAACTGTCCAATCAGTTTGTATCCACATATTACATAGTTAGTTATAAACCTAAAGTAGATTGTATGGTCAGATTGTAGTGTGTACAGTGAGCCCACAGGAGACGGTACAGTCAATTTAGACCGTGTACGACAATCATGCAGTCAGATTGGACCGTGAATGGTGGTCAGACGGGACCGCGAACGGCGTCCATGCAGTCAGACAGGACCGCGTACGGCAATCAGTCAGACGGGAACACGTACGGCAATCAGTCAGACGGGAACACGTACGGCAATCAGTCAGACGGGAACACGTACGGCATCCATGCAGTCAGATTGGACCGCGTGCGCCAATCAGTCAGACTGGACCGCGTGCGCCAATCAGGCCGTCAGATTAGATTGTACAGTGATCACGCAATCTGATAGGACCGTGTTTGATGATCATACAATCAGATTGGACTGTGTATAGTGATCAGTCAGATTGTACTGTGTACATTGACTAGTCACACTGGATCGTCTATAGTGATTGTCCAATCTGATTGTACGGTCAGTGCATGCTTGTGTCCCGGCATACCATATTGCTGCCATTAGAAGACAGTGCAGAGCCTCATATGAAGTTGCAGAGCACGGGACAACGAAGGCAGCTGCTGATCGGCCAGTGTGCAGCCCGCCCCCCCATACACAGCAGCGATATCGCTCACCTGAGCCATACTTGACATCATGGGAGTGGAGCCGCACATTGTGCCGAGTATTGAGCAGCTTCACCACCGAGCCGCACGTCACGTACTCCGCCTCTTCACTCCCCTGTGCCGGGCACCAGAGGCAGCACACGCCGAGCAACAGCAGCTCGAACCCCGCTGACAGCATCGCTTCCCCCGGCAAGTCACTCCAGCTTCCTTGTAACTTCCCTCAACACGGGCTGCATAGCCAATCGACAACCGCCAGCGGAAGGAGGGCGGGAAGATCAAAAGTTAAACCAATGGTTGGCCTCGCTCCGCCCAATACAAGGCGGTACTAAAGCGAAGGACAAGAGAAGGAGGACACCGGTGATTGGTAGATGAGCCCTTCCGCTTCGTAAAGTTGATGTCTTCAGCTTGTAGACACGAGGGAGACGATGATTGGTCCACGGTGTGATTCATTCAGTCCCAGCCAACCAATGAGCGCTGGAGGAGTCGCAGCCGACCTGTCACTTGTATGTAGCTGACATGCTAGTTTTAACCCGGTCAGTGCCGGAGGGGGGCGTGTTCGGAAAGTGGAGTGTGTTCTGGCTGGAGGGCTGTGCGAAGAGAGGGGTCGCCGAGGCTGGAAAAGATGGGACATGGAGCAGATATGATGGATGTACATTCATACAGGCCCTAGAGGAGGCTTTGTGTGCTACAATCATGGCTCAGACATTGTTCTCACTGCAGTCCACTGATGACTGGTGATTACTGCACATCACACCGGAGACATCGTGCTGCAGAGCTGTGCTGCCAACCTGCTGTAGCATTTTGTACTGACAAAACATGGAACATTTACTGACAGGAGTACATGGTTTTACTGACAACCTGAAAAGTGACATTAAATACTAAGACAATCAATATTTAACCACTTGCCTGCCTGACCAGGTCCTTTTTTGCGATACGGCGCTGTGTTACTTTGACAGTTGTGCGGTTATGCAACGCTGTACCTACATACAATTCATGTCCTTTTTTCCCCACAAATTCTTTTGGTGGTTTTGATCACCTCTCCAGTTTTTATTTTTTGCGCTACAAACAAAAAAAGGCCAACTATTTTGAAAAAAAAAATTATATTTTTTTGCTATAAAAACATATCCAGTAAAAAAAATGTAAAAAATCAAATTTCATAAATTTAGGCCAAAATGTTGTCTGCTACATGTCTTTGCTAAAAAAAAAATAAATTAATTGGTATATGTGACAGTTATAGCATCTACAAATGGCGGCGATCAGCGACTTATAGCAGGACTTTGGCAGGCATTCTGACACTGTGGGAGGGGGAACTAACTGCCACTGACATCCACAGTGACACCAATACATTGATCAGTACTAATAAAAAGCACTAACACTGTACTAATGACACTGGGAAGGAAGGGGATAACATCTGGAGTGATCAAAGGGTTAACTGCTGTGTGTGTTTTGCTACAGAGACATGCTGCTTTGTGTTTCTCTGCTGTGAAGAGAAATACACAGCAGCATGTCCTTGCTGACAAGACAGAGACCTGTGTTGTTTACACACAGGTCTCTTCGTTCTCAGCTTTCCCTGACGATCGCCGAGTGCCAGCCCGGACCTGCTGATTGACATTGCTAGCTGCCAATAGCGGTGCTGGTAGGGCGGCACATGTGCGCCCCCTACCCAGGGATGCAAATCACGTATATATACACGTGATTTTGTGCAGCCCTGCCACCCTGTAGCAGTATTTCTACTATAGGGCAGATGGCAAGTGGTTAAACAGTATAAACGCAATATGCAAATACTGACAATACTCATAACCAGTCATTTGATTGGCTTACACTTACAAATGTCAACACAGCATGACAAATGATCAGCTCCTGATATTTACAGACAGTTGTAAAAATCACTGATTTTTTAACAAACTGTCCATAAATTTACTGACAGTTGGCAACCCTGGTAAAGGGCAATAATCAGGGTATAGCGCTATGAACATATAAATAAGAACACCATCTTTATGTGATTAGATGGACCAATGAGGTGAATTCAATGCAGATGTCATTCATGTGGAATTTACAGAAAAATAAGAGCAGATCTTCTGGTTACTAGACAACCTGGACTGTACTGACATTTGTATGGATTAATATTTATGGACTCAATATAAGACAGAGCCAGAACAAGCATGCAGTAAGTGAAGACAAAACTCCTGACTTGCCTACATGTGCGGGGTCATAGGGACCATGTTTTGGTCCCTGTTCACATCTATAATGCTCTCCAGGTTTCGTTGGATAGGCTGTTTGTTGTTTTATTTTTTTTTTTAGATAGAGGCTGAGAAGCAGCCTGGGATGAGTCAGCCTGGGAGTGAAGCTCAGAATAGGCTGGGAGGTTCTACAGGTCAGGGCTTCTGGAGGCCTCCCACCCTTCCAGAACTTTATGGAAGAGGGGAGGAGCCCCACATCTGCATGTTTGAGGGACATTGGTCAATCGCCAGGAGGCTAGGCATAGTGACCGAGGTAATCCTTAAGAATCACAGAGCCTGGGAACAGTCACTGAGTGTCGGGTGGAAGATGGAGTGAGGAGCTGAAGTTTGGAGCCTGGGAGGGGGCCCATGGAGGGGAGCCTACCTACGGGCTGTTGCTGCAAAGGAAGATCTCCAATGCCTCAATGTCTCTGGAGGAGGACAGCCTGTGTAGCAGGGAAGGAGCCAGCCCAGCGTAAGGCCTGAAGGCAGCCACCAACCCACCAAGCTAACAGGAGAGGACAGTGTGAGTACACCCCTTGAGCCATATAAGGGCAGAGGGTGGTCAGATGTAATACCCAACTAGTCCTCATTCGGGACTGTGCTAAATTTACAGCTCTTGCCCAAGGAATACCCTCAAGGCAGCTGGGTGAAGAGGAGGAATTATCCAGGGTCTCAGTAGATACACCTAGGAGCCTTTTGTGTTCTCAAAAGGAGAGACTTCCCTTCTAAAAACAGGAAAATATGAAACTTGCTTGTTATACTAACTGTGGAGCCTAAGGGATAATCCTCTGCATTGTGTAAAAATGTTGTTTTATCCTGACTTCTCTGATCCTCCCCTTCTTCCAGTTGTCACGATCGCACGGTCGCTGCCACCAACATGCGACAATTGCACGACCGCGACTAACAGTAATATGTCACGCCCGTGGCGTCAGATCCCAGACCTTCTCACCAACTCGTGACTGAAGGACCGGCCAATCTAAAACCGCGGTGTGACGCGCGTAACAAGGCCCCACCCAGCTGCACCCTGCACAGAGATTGTCCAACTAATGGGCTACAATCGGTGCCTGCAGCCTGAATGCGCTTGTTACTGGGTCGGGGTAATTACTCAACTAACCCTCTACTGCCACCACCACTTTTGTTGGAGACTGGGAAACTCCCGTTATCAAATATACACTATAATGATTGAAAAGTCGCCTGTCCAATACGGTCACTGCAGGCCGATTGGGCAGAGGATTAAACAAACACAGTAGCGTCTCTTCAAAGGCAGGAATTTGTGAATTGCAAGTAAGCGCTTAGAAACAGTTTTACACTTTCAGAAAGAAAGATTTATTACTAAAAGAGTCAAACAGGTGCAATAAAATATTTACAAAGAAAATGTAACTATATATATATGCATATAAAAGGTACAGCAAAGAGATAATAGGAAGGAAGTTAAAGAGTTCAGTTACTTGCCAATATGCCTTGGTTTGTAAGCAGATCCAAGTGCAGAGCAGGAAGGGTCTTTGATCTCCTCTGTTACGATGTTAAACTGAGGAAGCTTAACCTTTAGGCTTGCAGCCTGTCCTTTTTTAAAATCCCTCTGAAAGGGGGGTTGCTCTGACTACGCTGTGTTGGGAGGGGTCAGAAGAACTCTGAATTAGAACCCACATCTGTCATAATCCATGACATGAAACATCGGGGGAAAGCCGGACTTGAAGAATGTTCAATTTTCTTGCAAGTCTGGGGAGAACTGTCTTATCTGTTTTTATGATGGCTGAGTCTACACAAGATTCTCAGGTCAGTGCTTTTAAGTGAGAAAGGTTACACTTCCACAGACGGCCTGGCACCGTACTGAGGATGCCTTAACTTGGGTTGACCCCCCCCCCCCCCCCATCTGTCACTCAGGAATTGAGAGGGTAGGAGTGAATGATCGAGGAATACCTCAAATAAAGAAAAGAGAAAGGGGAACTCCACGTCCAACTCTGATGAGCAAGTTTGCTACACCAGTGTCCCCCTCTTATCTCCTGATAAGACGTATCGTGTGGAGTTACTCTGCACATGCTTAGTTTGGTGTGTATTGGTAGAGAGGTTTTTTTTGTCCTTGGGTGAGTGCATGTGATCAGCGCAGGGCCAATCAGCACTGCCCAGACAGACAGGGGTTCTACTAGAGCAGGAAAACTCCTCCTACAAGCTTTAACCAGTGCTCTGCTGAACACTGATAGAAGTCACAAGACTGCTCTAACTGCTGATGAGAAAAAGTATTTAGCAGTTTATATGTACTAAAATAATTGCATTTCCAAGTTCTGTGGGAGACCTGATATAGTGAATGCAGGGTCCTGGGTTTAGTAACACTTTAAGGGTTCATGATGCTGTATTTACGGGCCTTATCTTGGCACCTAACAGGGCCGACATGTGGCATATGTCACCCCTTTCATTTCTATGGTACACCCAAACCAGTTTTTAATATGCAACAGATATTTGTAGTCAGCTTGTAGGTGTGTTCCTGTTTCCTGAGATATATAATCCCTCTGTATTCATTTCACCCTGAATCCAACACCTACAATGGTCCTGGCTCTGCATTGCTGAGCAGAACTAACAAGTCATCTTCTTTGTAAGGCTAGGTTCACATCTGTGCGGGTGGTGCTGGTGCGGATCTGCACAATAATCCGTGCAGCCTCACCACCTGCACAGAGGAATGCGGAACTGCGGGTGCCATTAATTCTAATAGCACACTGCCTGCACTGGAAATCACAACCGTACAGGGAAGCTCGGTTTCCATGTGAGCTGCGTTTTCCAAAGAAGTGCAGGGACTTCCCTGCGTGTCCCGAGGCACGGGAGTCCATTCAAATGAATGGGCTCTCGTGCCCGCTCAAGACCGCAGATATGTGAACCAGGGGTTAGAGCAGGGGTGGGCAAACTTTTTGACTTGAGGGCCGCAATGAGTTCATATATTGGACCCGGGGCCGGACCAAGAGTA